AGAGAATCCGCCTGCAATGTGGGAGACCTGGATTCGATCCCTGGGTTGGGAAGACCCCTTGGAGAAGGGAAAGGTTACCCGCTTCAGTATTCTGGCCTGGAGAATTCCATGGACTATACAGTCCATGGGTCACAAAGAGTTGGACAAGACAGAGCAACTTTCACTTCACATAACTGACTTACAATACTGTGTTAATTTCAAGTTTACAGCAAAGTGATTCAGTTTTACACATATATATATATTCAGATTATTTTCCATTATAGACTATTACAATATATTGAATATAGCTCCCTGTACTATACAGTAAATCCTTATTGTTTTATGTGGTTTGTATCTGTTAATCTCATACTTCTAAGTTATCATCATCATCTTTTCTATTTACCCTATTGTATGGAGCCCATCAGCTTCCAGATGTCAGTTTCTTGCTTCAACTGCCAAGCCCTGCAGCAGACAGTGTTGCTTTGGGGAATTTCAAAGGGAAGAGTCTCAGGACAAGTGGTCCTGGAAGCTGTTAGGGCCTTACCTGAAAATTCCTCAACCCATGTCAGCTGTCTATGAGCCCCAAGGTTCCAAGCTACCAGGGCAAAACTTTTTACCAAGTCCAAGCTCATAATGCTCATAGAATGACAGATTAATAAATCAAGAGACAAGCTGTTGGGGCAAGGAATAACAACTTTATTTGCAAAACCAGCAGGCCATAAAGGTGGTGAAACTAGAGTCCCAAGGAACCATCTTTTATATTATTAACTTTTAAGAAAAAGACTAGGGGCAAAAACTTACTAGGCTACCTACTATAGCAGGGTAAGTTGTTCAGACTTACAATAAGCAAATAATTGAGCTTGCCATTCATTTCAATCAGGAAGTCCCACTGAGGAAAACACATTCACTATATCTTGGTGGAAGGCAGGAAGAAAGTTATTCATTTTAAAGTTTTTAATTAAGTGGATTTTCAGATTGAGTATTTGACTTGTGAATGCCTAGTGGCCTTAAACTGCAAAGAAATGAAACCCTAGTCAGATCTGTACATTTTCAGGGATATTTGCCATAACAGCTAAATTTTCACAGTCCTTATTAGAATTGGAAATGTTTTTCCCAAGCTGAGCACATTTAAAATGCATTTTTATAAGATTTCAAACTAATACTTTTCTGAATCAAAATTAAAGACCAATATGATATAACCTCAATGATCCATTATTGCTTACTAGATAGTACATATTTCAAAATAATTAACTGAAATTATATAACTGGCAATGTAATAATCCCAAAGAATCAACTGTGATTACAGTAATTTTTCTAATGAAAACAACAACAGAAAAACTAGTCATTAGTGTCCTGAAAGTGAGAAGTGGCACCACTCTACCTCTCCCCGCTTTAGATTCAGTGTGGTGTACACTATAATACATATTGTCAATTTCTGCCACAAGAGTCCACTTCTAATTTGTTCACAGTTTCTTTATTTTCTCCCTCCGTACAGATTTTTTAAAATTTTAAATGCATTTTTCATTAACTGTCATAATCATATGATCCCCCCATAACCTGTTCAAGCAGTGATTTAAGTAACTTTGTCTTATATTAAAGAATCTTAGGTTCTTGGAATAACTCAACTAGGTCATGTTATATTCTTTTTATGTATTTCAGGGCTAGGCTTGCTAGTATTTTGGTTAAAATCATGGCATCTATGTTCATAGAGGAGATGGCCTCTAATGATTTCCTTTACTGGTACTCTCTTTAGGGATTTGGATCATTTAACCTGGCCTTAAAAATGAATTAGGTATGCTACCTCTCTTACTATTCTCTAAAATCCTGTATAAAAAACCTTGGTTGAATTTCCAGCAGAAAAACAAAAAAGAACACCTACAATATTTTTCTTTACTTTGTCAACTAACTTCCTGATTTAAAATTTTGGGGGGTTTAAAAAGCTTTGAGTAGTGATGGCTGCAAAACAACGTGAACGTATTTAATGCCTCTGAACTGTATACTTAAAAATGGTTAAAACGGTAACGCTTATGCTATGTATATTTAATCACAATTTTTCAAAAGTAAGAGAAAAATAAAAGGAGAGAAAGAGGAAAGGGGGGAAATGAAAGAGAAAAAAGAAGTAGAAAAGATGGACACTTGCAAATAAACAGAGCAGTCTGAGCACCTGCTGGCAGGCAACCTTCAAGAACAGGCTGCTGGGAGGCAGGCACGGCTCACTCAGCCCACCAGCAAAGCGAGGACCTGCAGAGGGCACAGGGGGCAGGCCAATCCTGGAACAGTAATACGGCCCCCGCCATACACTAATACAGAGTTCTGTCTCTAATCTAAGATGTGCGGTGACACAAGGATGTCCTCCACACTTCCTAAAACTTGGGCTGCATCTAAATGTCCCTCTATTTCCATACCCAGGGCTCCTTCGAGAAAGAAGAGAGTTAAGTTTCCTTCATACCATGTAGGTCAAGATTCTCTTAAAAATGGAATTAAGCTAACAGCAATATTTGAGATTTGGTTAATAGCAAACCAATATATCACTATTGCAGAGAAAAAAGATAAAGCAAAGTTGCTTCAAGGCAAAGACCATGAGAAATCCAGTGAGCCTCTTGGCTTTGCAGTTCTCTTAAGAGTATTGTTTAGTGTCTGAAAAGCATATTTTGTTTTCCAGAAAATATCTTTGACCATAATTCCAAAGTAATAAAGTGTGTTCAGTCCAGCTTCTAAATTTATAGCTATAAATGTAAATTATAAGATGTGCATGAGTGCTAAGTTACTTCAGTAGTGTCTGACTCTTTGCAACCCATGGACTGTAGCCTGCCAGGTTCCTCTGTCCATGGGATTCACCAGGCAAGAATACTGGAATGGGTTGCCATGACCTTCTCCAGGGGATCTTCCTGATTCATGGATCGAACCTGTGTCTCTTGAGTCTCCTACATTGGTAGCTGGGTTCTTTACCACTAGCACCACCTGGGAAGCCCACAGTACTTCTTTAATGTGTAAACTTGAGGGGCGGATTTTTCAAAAAGTGATTAAAAACCAAATAAGCTCTCTTGAAAATATTTCTTATGAATATAACAAGCACCACTGAATGTAACTGTATTCCACACTGATCCAGTTTATGTACCATACCTTAAGTGTATTTTCATAGTGATGATAGTCTATAGCAATGGTTCACCATGATAAATTTTCAACAAGGATTTGCTGAATGAATGAATGAGAACCAAGCCTTAACTGGAGTCTGTTTTGGTAACAGGGAGATGAAAACATAGGCTGAAATCTATTTTTTTAGAAAACATAGGCTGAAATCTATTTTTTTAGAACTATCATGGCCTTAACTTGATTGCTTCTACAACAGAATAAAGTCTAATATCTTTGGAATTCAACATAATAAGACCCATTAGACTTTCCCCCAGAAAAAAATTAAATGACAGGGAGGAAGGAGAAGGAAAGGGGAGGAAGGAATACCTTTCTATGCTAGAAGCAAACTCTCTCATGATGCATGGCTTCAATTAGATTTCAGGCAAGCTCAAAAGCCCCCACCCTCACTTTAATCTCAAGTGTCAAAAGAAAACTGAGATGAAATATTTCTATTTTTATAAAACCGATTTTCCTTTATCTCAGGGAATATGGGATAAGGTCACTTAAACATGATTTTTCTCATTCTTTTCTGCAGTGTTTCACCTAGCATAACATACTTGTTGGGGCAGCCAAGTGCTACAAAAAAGAAAAACACTACACAGGCAGTGATTCCTATAGAAATATGTTATAGGTTGCATTACACCCCCCTACAAATTATATGGTGAAGTTCTAACCTCTCATACCTCAGATTGTTACTTTATTTGTAAATATAATTAGTAAAGATGAAGTCATGTTGGGGTAGGGTGGGCTCTTAATTCATTATGACTGTTATCCTTATATAAAGGAGACAGGGACAGAGACCAGCAAACAGGGAGAATACATGTGAAGACTGGAATTATGCTACCAGAAGCCAGAAGAGACACCCGGAGCAGTCACCTCCCTAGCACCGTCAAAGGGACCTCTGGCACCTAGAACTGTGAGACAATAAACACCTGTTGTTCTAAGACTCCAGCTGCCTGTAGTTTGTTACTGCAGCCTCGAGCAAACTAATACAGACAATAAGAGGCTAATGTGTACGAACTAGCCTGTTGGCTTCAAAGTGCACTTCAGATTCAGCTTCTCACCCTATGGCTACTGAGCTGCAGCCACAGGGGCCTGGTCTCCTGACTTCAGGCTCTACCTCTTATCTGCTTCAGCTGCCAAACCCACCACAACATCAACCTTTCAAAGGTGCCAACTTCTTTGCACCACTTGTTAAGAAGTCTTGTAATGACTCACCACTTCCTATAGGAAAAAGCTCAGATTCTTCTGCCTCAAAAACAGGCCTCTCTCCCCTAAGCTAGGTCCACCTGGTAGGCAAGAGTTTCTGAGAAACCCTAAAGGATACAACCATTATTCCTGAAGACATGCTCCCTCCACTGTCTGCCACTCTCTCGCTTCACCAACCCACATCTTGACCATCCGTGAAGACAACTGCTAATACCTGCTTTCGACCTGAAACTCTATACTCAGGCCCTCAATAAATAAAGGCCACATCTCTGGCTGCCCTGCCTCCGCTGCTTGAATCAGACATTCTGCACTCATCCAAGACTGCCTGGCACAGTTACCTAGCATTTTAAAAGTACACACTTTGATTCCTCTGCGGCACTGCTGGACTATGAGCTCTGGAAGGACAGAATTCATCCTTTACAACTTTGGGGGTATTTTGCAAAGCCAAAGACAAGGCCAAGCATGTTAAACGTAAGTTCCAAATTCTTGTTAACGATTCAACATATATTTTAAAGTCTTAGAAATGTTTATTTCGGCTTTCCCTTCAACTGGGACTTTAAAATGGAACAATATACAGATTTCATATAATCTTAATGCTTCCACATATATCTGAATAATTTAAAACTTAGAAAGAACAGGAGGAAAAAAATCTTTAGGATGTTTAGTCCCAAGTTACTTACCATTCTTCATCACTACATTGGACCAGACGTTGGCATTCAAGGCTTGAACAATTCGCTTTACTCCTGTAGATTCTGGGAAGTCATCTAATCAGGGAGGGGGGGGAAAAGTGTATTTACACATACATAAATATTTATATATATTCATCCCTCAGTATTCATGAAGGACTGGCTCCAAGACTCCCTCCCCACCATAGATAACAAAATCTGCAGATGCTCAAGTCCCTTATATAAAATGGTTTTGTATTTACATATAATCTACCCGCCAATCAATCCTTGGGTCCAGAAGAACCCCTGGAGAAGGACATAGCAACCCACTCCAATATTCCTGCTTGGAAAATCCCATGGACAGAGGAGCCTGGCAGGCTGCCGTCCACAGGGTTGCACAGAGTTGGACACAACTAAAGTGACCTAGCACATAATCTACCCACATCATCCCATATATCTTTTTTCCTCCCATATACTTTAAATCATCCCTTGACTTCTTATAATACCTAATACTATGTAAACTTTTTGGAACCCTCTGGATTTTTTTTTCCTGAACATTTTCAATGTGCTGTTGGTTGAATCCATGGATGCAAAACCCTTAGATACAGAGGGCTGACTATATGTGTGTATCTAGGACTGTGGGCCACAGTCCACACTTTAAATAACTAACAATTATCTTGCCTATTTAGTTGCTATTTCACACTATAACTTACGTAAAAAGGAAAAAAAAAAAAAACTAAGAAAATACAAAGCTTGGAGCTCCTGATAAGAATATTCTAGAAACTGGAGAGTGAACAAGATGGCAGAGGATAAGGATGTGGAGCTCACCTCCTTCAACAAATACGTCAAAAATACATCTACACGTGGAACAATTCTCACAGAACACCTACTGAACACTGGCAGAAGAACTCAAGACTTCTGAAAGGGGAAGAAAATTTCCACATAACCAGGTAGGACAAAAGAAAAGGAAAAAAGAGAAAGGAATCAGGACAGGACCTGCATCCCTGGAAAGGAGCTATGAAAGAGGAAAGGTTCCAATATCCTGGGACGTCGCCACACCAGCAGAGTGATCAGCCAGGACAGAGTGGGAGCTTTGGAGCCTCAAAGGAGAGTGCAGCAACTGGTCGGAGAAGGCAAAAGAGAGACCTACACAGACAGCAGGCGTGCCGCCCTGCACGGACCAGTCTGACATGTGTCTGCCGGTGCGGGTGGGGGCTGGCTGCGGCACCTCAGGCTCTGGAGGTCAAACTCAGGGGGAGTGTTGGGGCTGGCTGTGCAGAGACGGCCTGAAGGGCTGGAGTATGGCACGCCCACAACCAAAGGCGCATGAGGAAGCAGCCTGGACCCGCCACAGAGGCAAGTGCCACTGTAGGGGCCACGCAAGGGGAACGGCAGGGCTGCTTTAAGAGCCTCTTTCCCTGCACACACGGTCTCAGACTTCAGGACACTGTTATGCAAGCTCTGGGGGCAACACAAACCACGACAGGCACAGAGAGATCCAAGAGCAGGCGCCAATCACCGCCCCTGCCACTGTGGGACCTAGGAGTGCGCGGGAGCTGCTGCCATGGGCCCCAGGAGTGGGTACCAGCCAACGCTGCCAGCGGCCTGGGAGAACACATGGATTACAGCATCTGCGCACCCCTATCAAGGGGGTAAGAGCTGGCACATGCTGAGGAGAGGCGGAAGGCATCCACATAAAAGCAGCCCCTGCATGGAAAACATGAACCCCACGCAAGCTACACAGAGATGCTCCCACAAATAAACAGCCTTCCAAGGCCACAGTATGTCAGTTTCTCCTAAACTCAGAGTAAGAGAAACATATGCAAAATGAAGATGCAGAGCAACCACTACCAGTTAAAAGACCAACAGAATTCCCCTAAAAGAACAATTAAACAGACTTCTTCAGTGTAATAGACTCCAAGTTCAAAAAAGAGGTAATGAACATACCAGAGGAATTAAGAAAGGCTATCGACAGAAATTCATATTACTGTAAAACAAACAAATAACTAGAAACTATGAGGAGGAGGCAAGAAAATTAGAAAATTCATTTGCCAAGATTAAAATTAAGATAAAGGCAATGACTAGCAGAATGAAAAAGTGATCTGGAAAACAGAATAATGAAAGTCACCCATTCAGAACACAGTAGATAGAAAGCCAAATGAAAAAAAAAAAAAGTGAAAATAATATAAAATACCTCCTATGGATAACATGGGCTTTCCCGGTGGCTCAGTGGTAAATTCTTCTGCAATGCAGAAGACACAAAAAATGTGGGTTCAACCCCTGGGTCAGGAAAATTCCCTGAAGAAGGGCACTGCAACCCACTCCAGTACTCCTGCAGGGAAAATCCCATGGACAGAGGTGCCTGGCAGGCTATGGTTCATGGGGTTGCAAAGAGTTGGACATGTCTAAACCAACTGAGCACACATGCATGGGATAACATAAAAGTGTGCCACTCTATGATAACAGGGACTTCAGAAGGAGAAGAAAGAGAAAAGGGGATTGAAAATGTGTTTGAAGAAATTATGGCTGAAAGCTTTCCAAACCTGAAGAAGGAAACAGATATCCAGATACAGAAAGCACAGAAGTTCCTGAACAAGATGAACCCAGACCTATACCAAGACATATTATAATCAAAATGGCCAAAGTTAAAGACAAAGAGAAGATTCTAAATGCAATAAAAGAAAAGCAAAGAGTTAATTATAAGGGAACACCCATAAGGCTATAAGCTGATTTCTCTAGTCTGAAATAATGCAGACTAGAAGGGAGTGGATAAACACATTTAAAGTCTTAAAAGGGAAAAATCTGCAACCTAGAATGCTCTACCCAGCAAGAATACAATTTAGAAGAGAAGGAGAGAGAAAGAATTTCTCAGACAAGGAAAAACTAAAAGAAAAGAGCAATATTAGACCTATTCTAGAAGAAATATTAAGGTCTTCTCTTATTATAAAAGAATCAAGAATATATAGGAAAGAAAATATCACAATTGTAAAGTAAATCATTTAAATAAGCCAGTATACAGATCAAAATGAAAAAAAAAAAAGGCTTTAAATCTATTTATGAAAGCAATGATAAACGTAAGGAATAGCAAAAGGATAAACATGAAGATGTAACTGAAGACATCAAAATGATAAAATGCAGGGGAGGAGAGGAAGAAAATACAGATTCTTTCATTTGAGCCTATATGACTACCAGTCTAAAAGCAAGCAGATACAGGAAGGGGTTAACATACTTGAAAAACAGGGTCACCACAAATCAAAAACATACAACAGACTCACAAAAACCAAACAGAAAACACAAGCATAAAATAAAGGGAAATTATCAAACCACAAAATGAAAAACAAAGAGACAAAGAAGAAACAGAATCAACTGGAAAACAAGGTTTAAAGTGGAATTAAACACATATTTACCAATAATTTCCTTAAATGTAAACAGACTATTCCAATCAGAAACAGGGTGGTGGAATGGATTAAAAAAAAACAAGAGACTATGCCACCTACAAGGCACCCTTGTAGGTACTACAAGGCACTCTTGTAGGTACTACAAGGCACTTTGCACTTTAGGGCAAAGAACACACAGACTGGAAGAGAGGGGATGGAAAAAGACATATCCTGCAAATGAAGATCACAGGAAAGCAAGAGTTGGCAATACTCATGTCAGACAAAAAAGACTTTAAAACAAAAGGCAAAAAGAAAAGTAAAGAAGGACACTATATGCACCCAATAAAGAAACACCCAAATACATAAAACAAATACTGACAGACATAAAGTGAGAAACTGATAGGAATACAATAATACCAGGTTGCCCAAAAAAATTCCTTCAATTTTTAAGTAAAAATAACAGACCCATTTTCCCTTTTCACCAAGAACTTTACTGAACATGTATTCACTATTTTGTTCTACTATCTTCTGCCATTTCAGGCAATCTCATAATTCCACCTTCCCAAAACTTTGTATCTTTTTGAGCAAAGAACTGTTCCAGGTGACTTTTACAATCATCCAGGGAATTGACATTTTTTCCATTAAGAGAATTTTATAAAGACTGAAATAAATGGACATCCGAAGGTGCAATATCATCCGAAGGTAAATATAACAATGAATCAGAACTTTCCAGTCAAGTTGTAACAGTTCTTGCCTAGTCATCAAAGAAACATGTGGTCCCGAGTTATCCTGATGGAAGATGCTGCATTTTCTGTTGACTGATTCCAGACACTTTCTGTCTAGTGTCGCTTTCACTTGGTCTACGTGGGAGCAGTACTTACTGGAACTAATTGGTTTTCCAAAAGGAGCTCATAGCAGAGGACTCACTTCCAATCCCATATATACACACCACCTTCTTTGGATGAAGACCAACCTTTAGTGTGGTTGGCAGTGGTTCCACAATCTCTTGTTCTCTGTTCTCTTCCATTCCACATTATTGTACAGTATTCACCTTTCACTGATCATCACAAATTGTTTTTAAAATGGAATGTTTTCATTACGTTTAAGTAGAGTGGCATGTGAAAATATGATCAACAAGATTTTTTCCACTTATGTGGAACCCAAACATGAAAACCATAAGAGAGTACTATGAACAATTTAATGCCAACAAATTCAACAACAGAGAAGAAATGAACAAGTTTCCAGAAAAATACATCCCATTAAAACTGAATCAAGAAGAAGATAATTTGAAAAGACGGATCACTGGAAGTGAAAGAGAATCTGTAGTTGAAGAAACAAAAAACAAAAAATTCCCTACAAATGCAAGTCCAGGACCAGATGGCTTCACAGGCGAATTCTACCAAACATACAAAGAACTTTTACCGATCCTTCTCAAACTCTTGCAAAACACTGAAGAGAAGGGAACACTACCAAAGACACACTATGAAGCCGCCATCACCCTGATACCAAACAAAACAAAGATACCACCAAAAAAGAAAATTACAGGCCAGTATCTTTGATGATATTATGGAGTACAAAATGAAGCAGGGCAAAGGCTAACACAGTATTCCCAAGAGAATGCACTGGTCATAGCAAACACCCTCTTCCAACAACACAACAGATGACTCTACACATGGACATCACCAGATAGTCAAAAGCGAAATGAGACTGATTATAATCTTT